CGTTCTCATTTTACCACGAAAAGGGAGGCTCAGAGAGGGTAGTGGATCGAGGCTGGACTCCAGCCCAGATATCTTTGGTTCCAGCCTGTGCATGGTGGACAGGATGGGTCCTCCCTCTTCACCCACTAGGTTTCAGTGACTCCCAGAGTAGGCAGGGCCTGCAGAAAGGGTCCCATGTGTGGCAGACCTTGTCTCTGTTCCTTCTAAGGGGCAGAGGGCATGCATCAGTCCTGGGTTGCAAGATTTTCAAACAAAACAAAGAAAAGGTGGGAGAACAAGATATTTCAGGCCAAGGAAGCAGCTCGTGCAAGGGCTCAGAGGGAGGAAGCCTTATTGCAGTCTTACAAATGAGCTGGAGGGTTTGGCCAGGGTCCCATTTTGGAGAGGGAGCTTTGCACACAGAAACAGCCTAGGGCTAGACCCAAAGGGAAGATTCCAGAACTTCACCATTTGTAAGAAAGCAGAACACAGTCCACATTGCCAGAGGGGTCACAATCTTTAAGAACTTTGTTAGAGCCTGGAATCCTTGTTATTTCCCCAAAGTTGTTCCTTTGGTAGTCTCTGTTCCCTTACAGTGATGAATAGCAAAACCCTCAGAGTAAGGAGAAGGGAAGTTCCATTTTGTGAATGCCTACCGTGTGACAAGCTGTGCCTTTGATTTCTCATTCAATCCCTGGTAAAATCTTGTACATTAGGTATTATTATCCCATTTTACAGATGGCTCTATTGAGACTTAGGTGCCAAAGTCCCACAACTAGTACATGTGAAGCTGGGTTTCAAATCCAGGTTTGACTGCAAAGCCTGCCCTATTTTTGGCAGCTGGGAAAATGTGGTGGTTACGAGGCGGTGATGTTTAACCTGAGTGTTGCAGGCAGATCAGATAACACGAGGAGGGAGGAGAGGTTTGGAGCCCCCTGGGCAAAGGAAGCAGTGTGTGCAAAGCTTGGAGCTGCAAGTGGTCCAGAATCTGGCTGGGCAAAGTGAGTGGCAGATGATGCAGCAGACACCGGATCAGGAAGGGCCTGAACTGGGCCTAAAGGATTTGGATTTTATCCTGTAGGTAATGGGAGCCAGGGAAGGATTGTATGAGCTAAGCAGCCAAGTCAAATTAGTACTTTAGAAAGAGCCCTCTGGGGCAGTGTGCATGCTGAATCACAAGGGAAACGGAGGGCAGAGGACAGTGACGCCATCTACACTAGAGACCAGGAGGCCTGTGCTGTGATAGTGGTGGCAAACGGGGTGCAGGGCCTGCTCCAAGGAGAGGTGGCAGGAGGTGAGGCTCCAGCTCTCCAGTGCTCTGCCCCCTCTGCCTCTCCCCTCTCCACCCCTGTTCTCTGCCCCTTTCCTCTAGCAGGGTTGGAGTGGAGGTGAGAAGGGGGCAGGGCAGGGCTGCTTCTTCCTCCTTCAGATGCAGACCCATCAAAGCCACTTACGGTCTCCTTGAAGTGAAGGGTCTTGTGAGGGTGGAATCAGATCCCTGAAGCAGGAGGACCTCTGGATCTGGCTAGAGGTAGTGGGCAATGCTGTTGGAGCATGGACCCAGGTGCTCATCGTTCAGCCAATTGGTTTCCCTCCCTGGACTGATCTGCCAGAGCTCACAGGGTTGCTGAGGGGTTAATAATAAGCCACTGGCAATAGAAAGAGCTCACAGCGTGGCAGGTGTTTGCATAACACATCATTTAATCTTCACAACAACCCTGAGAGACAAACTATTACTATCTTCATTTTACAGATGGGAAACTAAGGGTGAGAGAGTTTAAGTAATTTACCTGAGGTCACTGAGCTAGTAAAAGGATTAGGAATAATAATTCTTATTGTTAGAGCGACATGTGACTCCAGCCTGCCTCCTCTAGGGAGGCAGGGGGACAATGTGCATTGTCTCCTCCTTGGCAGTGGACGCTGTCCTGGGGATGGCCAGGGTCTCAGGCACTGGTTCTCTCACCTGCCGCCAGGATTTTAGGAGGGAGAGGGTCAGTTCTCTTCCTCCCTCTCTGAATATTGAGGATTTGTTCTGAGCACCACAGCAAAATTCCCACCCCCACCCCTAGACGGCCACTGGCTCCCAAACAACCTTTGGTCTAGACCTGCCCACCTGTTCAGGGAAGCTCTAGGAGATTAGAAACTACAGACGGAGTTCATTCCATTCCCGGTGCTCAGATCTCTAGTAGATTCCCAGCCCTTCCTTGCCTTGGGGCCGTTTCTCTTGCGATTCTCCCCCTTCTCCTTACTGGCTGTGTGATTGTAGGCAAGTCACTTAACCTGTCTGGGCCTCAGCGTCCTCACCAGTGAAATGGAATAATAGTACCTGCCTCACATGGTTATTGTGAGACTTGAGAGTTAATACACACAAAGCAGCTAGCACGTATGCGCAGTCAATGCTGGCTGCAGCTATAATTCCTTCTGCCCAGATCTCTGCTCTTAGTTGGGCTCCTCTTCCTCCTCAAGGTCTCAGCTTAAAGGTCATCTCAGAGGCCCTCCCTGACCACCTGCTCTAAAGCTCTAAAGGAACCCCAAACAAACCAAAGCAAAAAAACCAAACCTGTTGCCGTGAGTCGATTCCAACTCATAGTGACCCTATAGGACAGAGTAGAACTTCCCCACAGGGTTTCCAAGGCTGTAAATCTTTATGGAAGCAGACTGCCACATCTTTCTCCCGTGGAGCGGCCGGTGGGTTCAACCTTGTGGTTAGCAGCCCAGCACTTAACCACTGTGCCACCAGGGCTCCAAGAACCTTAGGAAGGAGGGGTTAATAATAACCCCTGTTGTAGGGGAAATACATCATAAAGTTTACTGAAGCAAAAATAAGTTTTATTTGGCATATATTCAAAAGGGCAGAATTGGGAAATGAACAACCATGCTGCCAAAGCCATGTCTGCCCGAGTCCAAGGGAATATCACAGAGCAGATAAAAGTGGGAAAACGGACAAGCATGCTGCTACAGCCATGTCTGCTTCGAGTTCAAGGACTATTACAGAGCCATCAGTATATATTAACATTACAAACGGGCAAAACCATCGAAAGCTTAGCTGTTTCAGATTGGCTAGAAACCGTGATCTTACATTCTGAATTGTCTTTCTTAACAATCATTGGTACAGGTGTCAGTAACGAGAGTCAGGAGGGTCTTTATTGGTCTAACAAATTTCTATTCACTAAATGCCAGTAGAAAAAGATTAAGAGTAGAAAGTCTTTCGTATTCTGTTTGATTGGCTTTATGTGAAAGTTTCCCTAAAAGATGATATTCCAAGATTATTTTAGCTATTGTCTTTACACCTCAGGGCCCAGCTGATGTGTCCTTGTGAGTCCTTGCGAGCCCAGCTCCAGCTGGGTCACATTCTCTATGCTCAAGGACAGGGAATAATAACTCCAATATTATTTCCTAAATCACCCCTCATTTTATTATTTTTTTAAATAATATTTTATTATGTTTTGAGTGAAAGTTTACACAGAAAATTAGGTTCCCATTTAACAATTTTTATGCAAGTTGTTCCGTGAACATTCATTATAAATTTCACAATGTGTCAGCATTCCCATTTCCATTCTGTTCTGTTTCCATTCTGTGTCCACTGTTTGTTCTGTTCCCCTCCTTGCCTTCTCATCTTTGTTTTTGGGTAAATGTTGACCCTTTGGCCTCATACAGTTGATTGTTTAAGGGAGTGCATTACTCATGGGTGAAATTGTTTTATTTCATAAGTCAGTCTGTTATTTGGCTGAAAGGTGACTGCCAGAAATAGCTTCAGTTCCAAGTTCAGAGGTTATTTTAGGGCTATAGTCTTGGGGGTTCCTCTAGTCTCTATTGGTCCAGTAGGTCTAGCCTTTTTTAGGAATTTGAATTTTGTTCTACATTTTTCACCCATTCTATCCAGGACGTTCTATTGTGTCCCTGGTCAGAACAGTCAGTAGTGGTAGCCGGGCACCATCTAGCTCTTCTGGTCTCAGGTTAGATGAGGCCATGGTTCCTGTGGGCTATTAGTTCTGTGGACTAGTTTCTTCTTTGAGCCTTTGATTTCCTTCAGTCTCTTTTGCGCCATACGAGTAGAGACCAATAGCTGTATCTTAGATGGCCGCTTGAAAGTTTTTAAGACTCCAGATGCTACTCACCAAACTGGATGTAGAACACTATGAACTATGTTATGCCAATTGACCAAGTTGTCCCCAGAGACTATGGTTCTAAGTCTTTTAACCCAGTAAACTAATCCTGCGAGTTGTTTGGCTATGTTTGGCTACGTCTAGGAAGCCTCCGTAACTGTGCCCCTATGTACTTTAACCCATTTTAAAATGAAAGTAAAAATGAAGTTAGCTACATTTTACTGAGGAGTAAACTGAGACTTGAGAAGATGAAGTAACTGGCCTAAGGTTACAAAGTGCATTATATGGTCGTGCTCTTTCTGCTGTGACAATGGTCCATGGCCTGCCTATGCCTACTGGCAGACACCCCCAAGGCACCTACCCTCTGCACCTGCTGAGATTCTGTCCAACATAAGCCCCACCTCCTCCATGGAGCCTTCCCCAAGTGCCCCCAGGATGTCCTCTGCCTAGCAGTTCCTGTTGCAGGTTGGGTTCCCCAGGAAGTAGATTCAGAAATGGCGATAAGTGTGCAGAACATTGATTAATGAGTATTCTCGAGATGGATACCTGATTGGAGGAGGAAGGGAAGGAAGCAGGTTTCGGCAGAGGGAAAATTGGGGCTGCGATGTTGTCACAATGGCCTCAGCTGACCCCGTAGTGATGAAGTGGGATTTGACCTTCAGAGCGTCCAAAGTTGGGGCAAGAGGGGCAGGACTTAAAACCATGCCCGCCCCCCTCCAAATGTTAATAGGTTAACATTTGATGCAGGCTGCCCCTGAGCAGGGGTGTGGCCATGGATGAGAGGGCTTTCCTCAGCCAACAGTAGTTTCCAGAGTGCTGCAAGCTGAGGTCCATCACCTGGCAGCTAGAGACAGCTGGGGGACCGGTCCTTCAGCCCTGAAGAGGATCTTGGTGGCTCATCACAGTGTCCACTGTGTGCCCAAACATAGGAGCTGCTCATTCATGTTCACTCTGCCTCCCAGACCCAGACCCGGTCCCTGGGCCTGGGGTGGGGACATGGAGCAGCAACCCTGGTGTCTTAGTTTTCTAGAGCTGCTGTAACAAAATATCACAAACGGGGTGGCTTTAAAGAACAGAAATTTATTGTCTCACAGTTCTGGGGAGAGAAGTCCAAATCAATGTGTTGGCCGGGTCATGTTCCCTCTGAAGTCCCTAGGGGAAGATCCTTTCTTGTCTCCCCAGCTTCTGGGAGCCCCAGGCGCTTCTTGGTGGTAGATGCATCCTCACACGGCTGTCCTTCCTCCGTGTGTCTCTCCTCTTTTACAAGGTCACCACTCTGATTCGGATTTGGTCCCACCCTACTCCAGTATGACCTCCTGTTAACATTTCCAAACAAGGTCACCTTCACAGGTACCAGGGGTTAGGACTTCAACATATCCTTTTGCAGGACACAATTCAATCCATAATACCTGGATTTGAGGCCACACCTTAATCCCATGCCCATACTCATCCTTGTTCGAGGACCTAAGAAGGCTCTGATCTAAGCTTGCACTGGAATTCCCCACAACTGTCCTTGCCTGTGCTGCATCCAGACGCTGAGTGGTGCAGCGTCCAACCCCAAGAACGCTGTGGCAGGCTCTGACTGAGCATATCCCATCTATTATTCATGTCCACAGCCTCCCTGTGAGGTGAGTCTTTCATGAGCCCTATTTCACAGATGAGGAAACTGAGGCTGAGGACAGGAAGTCACACCCCTGGTCTCTTAGACCTTTCCTTAGAAAGGGGCTGAGCTCTGAGACCCCAAATCCAGGAGGCGTGACAGTGTCAGTGTGCTGTTTATGTTAACGCTTACAACACACTAGCGTTTACCCCCCTCAGAGAGGTCCAAACACTCCCCATCCTACCAGGGGGTCTGAGTTGGCACTGTTTTAACTGTTTCCCTCCCCAGGTCAACACTGGCATGGGCCTGGGTTCTGCTTCCTGCTGGGGGGTCCAGGGCTCTGGGTCTTGTGGATGAAGCGGACACCCCCCCAGTCTTCCTCCAGCTTGATGTCCCCCCGCTGCAGGGCCTGCCGGATGGCATCAGCGAGGGTGTCGAAGGCCAGGTCCACGTTGCTGTTGTTTCTGGCCGAAGTCTCCACAAAGGCCATACCCAGGGAGGTGGCCAGTTCCTCTGCCTCCTGGGCAGAGACACAACGGGTGCTCTGCAGGTCACTCTTGTGGCCAACCAGCAGGAAGACTGCCTTGTCAGGGCCCTGGGTGGCCATGACCTCCTGGTGCCAGTCTTGGATGTGTTCAAAGGACTTCCTGTTTGTCATGTCAAAGACCAGCAGGACACCCACCACATTCCGGTAAAAGGACCTGGTGATGCACCTGGTAGGGAGAGGGAGGTAAGTTGGGACACCCCCAGAGTCAGGGCTTCCTCCCCTGAAATCCACTGAATCCTCCCCTCCCCCCCCCCACCCCCCATTATAGCTCATTCAACACTGCCGTGTGATCTCTGTTCTGTTTCTGTGTCTCTCCCAGAAGACTGCGCCCTCCCCAGATAAGCAGCAAGTTTGATTCACATACTCTTCTCACCATTCAGATTTCAGATCCTTGTTTCCGCGTTCTCCTACTCAACCTTCAAGGCCCAACTCAAGTATCTCTTCCTTTGACATCTCCTGACACCTCCCTCTCTGTACTCCGGAGGCTCTGTCAGCACCCAGGTCATTCAAAGCTCCATGTTTCAACATCTGAGTCCAGTTCCCCCGGGGGCTGAGTGTTCCTCCGCGGTGGGCACCAGTGTAAGGCATCTAGGCTACCCGTCATGACCAGTGCTATTTGCCGGATGAATGACTGGACTGAGGGAGGGTTTGGACCAGCGGACTCAGATCCAGGGCAGGGACCCCCTGAACACTTGGGCAACACTGGGGCTGGCACCTCTGAGGGGCCTCTGGACAGGCACTGGTTCCCCCCACAACCAGATGAACCCTCTCCGCCCTGGCCCCCCTCCCTGCCCCCCGCAGCCTGCACCTGAAGCGCTCATGGCCCGCGGTGTCCCAGAGCTGCAGCTTGATGCGCGGCCCCGCCCGCAGCTGCAGCGCGCGGCTGTAGAACTCGACGCCCACCGTGGGGGCCGCCTCGGACTCCGGCTCGGGCTCGCGGGCCCCCGGCGTGCCCGCCACGTAGCGCCGCAGCAGCGACGTCTTGCCCACCGCCGCATCCCCCAGCAGAACGATCCGAAACTGGTAGCGGCAGCCGCCGGCCTCCATGGCCCTCACGTCTGTTCCCCGCCGGCTCGCGGCTATTTGTTGGGCCCCGCCCCTACCGGGCAGGGTCCTCCTCCAGGGACGCGGGTCCCGCGCATGGCCGGCACCGCCCCGCCCCTGGCCGGACCGCGAGCTGCCAGAACTGACCTGGGACTGTGAAGCTGGGATGTGCAAGGAGTGGGGAGGACCCGACCTCGAGGGAGCCGGACCTGGTGGAAGCCCCTGGGCAAGTCACTTCCCCACTCTGAGCCTTGGTTTTCTCCCCTGTAAAATGGAGATGAAAGTAACCCCAACCTCATTGGCTGAAGGGATTAAACTAGATAATGTGGGGAGAAGAGCTAACAAAGCATGCACTCTCCTAAAAGACTAACAGTGGTAGAGCATTTATTCACTCATTCTTTCGTTCATTCATTCATTCACTGGGATAGTTTCTCTCTCCCGCACTGGGTTGGTTACCCAGTTTGACCCCTGCTGCTGGGCCTGGGGACGTCAAATGGAAAGTGGGTTTACAGTTGTCCCCTACCCACTGTCAAATTAAAAATAACCAAACCTGTAGCCATCGACTCGATTTCGACTCACAGAGCAGAACTGCCCCATAGAGTTTCCAAGAAGCACCTGGTGGATTCGAACTGCTGAGCTTTTGGTTAGCAACCGTTGCTCTTAACCACTACGCCACTAGCGCTCCAAATTAAAAATAAGAGGTTTTAATTCTCCGTGTTGAAAATAAGGGAAGCGATTCGCCCTCCCCCCTTCTCTTTCAGAATTCCTTCAGAAAACTTGTAAATTCTTTCTCTATCTCTTTGAAAAATGTCAATGTAGAATGTTTCCTCAAGAACCTGGGCGCTGCCTTTTGAAATATAATCATCAAGGAAGACCACGTCCCTACCTCCCAGTTTCCTGGAGGGAAATTAGCATAACTTCAAGGAGCCCTAGGTGGCGCAGTGGTTAAGTGGTACGCTGCTAACCAGGCGGCCAGCGGTTCAAACCCACCAGCCGCTCCATGGAAGAAAGATGTGGCAGTCCGGTCTGTAAAGATTACAGCCGTGGAAACCCTATGGGTCAGTTCTACTCTGTCCTACAGGGTCGCTATAAGTCGGACTCCACCGCAATGCTCTTTTGGGTTTGGTCAGGTAGCCCTGGGCTCCAAATTGCAAACCTACCTCTAGCCATAAAGACACTAGAAAATTAGCAATTTTATCTTGAAAACACGAATGTAATGGGTCGTATCCATTTAGCAATACCAAGGGTAAGATTTCTTTCTGTCTTTGCACTTTCTTTAGCTGATTGTGATGTATCGCATTCTGGTTTGATGCTTATTCAATAATAAAACTTTTTTTTTCTCTTCTGTTTTTGTGAAGAGGTTTTCTGGGTTGGGAGTAGATTTTGTTTTTAATTATATTTCCCCATCACCACCCAGGTTACCCTTTCCTGGAGCCTCGTTGGCCCTAACCCAAGGCCTCTTGTTCATTGTTCAACAGCCTCCACTGCTTGCTCCTGCCAGCTTGTGCTGGGCATTTGGGTCTCAGGGAAGGACTTGGACAAAGGACTCTGAGGCAGGACAGACACAGACAACTGCAATTCCAGAGGGAGCGTGGTTGACTTGTGGACTTGGCAGGTAATACTTATGAGGCCAGGTGGCCTGTTCCTGATGCTTTGTGGGCAGCAACCCTACAGCAACCCTTTGAGAGGACAATAGTGTACTCATTTTAGAGTTAAGGAGACAGGTTCAGATGGGTGGCTTGTCCCATGTCACAGAGCAGAGCTGAAACTCATATCCTTCATTACCCCCTGAATGCCACAAAAGGGGACTGCAAGGGAGGTCCCAAGAGAACCAGGACATGGTGGTCAGGGCCAGTTTGGGTTAGGGGCGTTAATGTTGAATGCTACCTGAATCCTGTGATACAGGAGAAGAGCAATGGTTAAAGAAATCGCCCCACACTTTGTGTTTAGAAAAATGTCTTACTGCAAAGAACCACCCTTCTCATGCTCTTTGTAGCACCTCTTTGTTCACCTATGGCAAGGCCTCTGAATTCCCATTCCTCACCTCATAAATGAGTAACTGAATTGCTTGTCGCCACTGATCAATCAGAAACAACATGCTTGTTAACCAAACTTTGGTTAAGTTTCCCTCCTTCCTCCAAGTCCTTGAACTTTGGCCTACCCTCAGCCTGAGCATCAACATACTATCCCTTTCTAAGGGCCTCCTCCCAGAGAATAGGCTGACCTTAGCATAAAACATTCTGAATTACTATCCTATGATGTCACCCTTTCATCCCACTTCCCCACACCGGGTTTTTTTTCTAGCCTTGTTTTCTCTCAGTCTCCATAAATGAAAATGTGTTTTCCCTGACTCTTTGACATACTCGCAGATTTTAAGGTCACAGTGTTCTCCGTATTGTAGTATTGTTGCCCGATGAGGGTCCGTGCCCTGGAGCAGTAGAGCCAATGAAATGTACTCTAATTCAGAAAGAGAGAGAAAGTTTATTAGGAGGTGACACCAATGGGGAGTCTGACAGCAGTGCAGGCTGTCTTTATGGAGCCCCAAAAGGCAATTTTACATTAGAGCTTATGTATGATTTTTACAAGGGTTAGAAGTATCTTTGTAGCATGTAGCCCACAGATGGCATGGCCAGATGAGTTATTCATTACAGGATAATTACAAGAGACTATCAGACTAAAGAGATACATGCTGGACATCTCCTTATCAGGCTAAAGATATACATGCCAGACATCTGAGCTCTAATCTCCATGTGGGGGGGTCATGAGTCACAGGTATTGGACAGAGCAAAACAAATTCATTAACAAAGGTATGCAGAAAGAAGGCAGGCAGAAAAAAACTTACAGATTCGTCATGGTGTTAGTTATGTCAAGCTCTCAGTCATCCATTTTAAAAAGGCGAAAACATGCTGTGGAGTAATAGGGTCACAGTATCCCCTCCCCCGCTATCACAATAGTCCCTTTCCATAAAGAAGAACACCAAAGACACAAGGAAAATATTAGCCCAAGAGACAAAAAGGACCACATAAACCAGAGACTCCATCACCCTGAGATCAGAAGAACTAGATGGTGATCGGCTACCACCAATGACTGCTCTGACAAGGAATACAACAGAGAGTCCCTGACGGAGCAGAAGAAAAGTAGGGCGCAGAACTCAAATTCTAGTCAAAAGACCAGACTTAATGGTCTGACTGAGACTGGCAGAACCCCAGAAGACATGGTCCCCGGACTCTGTTAACCCAGAACTAAAACCAGTCCCAAAACCAACTCTTCAGACAAAGATTAGACTGGACTATAAGACATAAAACGATACTCGTGGAGAGTGTACTTCTTAGTTTAAGTAGATACATGAGACTAAATGGGCAGCTCCTGTCTGGAGGTGAGATGAGAAGGCAGAAAGGGACAGGAGCTGGTTGAATGGACATGGGAACTCCGGGGAGGAAAGGAGGAGTGTGCTGACATATTATAGGGATAGCAAGTAGGGTCACATAACAATGTGTGTATAAATTTTTGTATGAGGAAACTAAACTTTCACTTAAAGCACGATAAAAAAAATTTAGCAAATTAAAAAAAAGAACAATAGTCCCTTTCCTTTTCCCTCTTTTCTTTCTGAATAAAGCTTCTCCCAACCAAGATCTGAGTTTGCTTTTTTATTTGACAGGGGTGAGGGTAAGGCAGGTGCGTCTGCTTCCAAGATACACCCAGCTTTCCAGTCTGGATGTTTGGAAACCTAGGGCTTTGAGACTGGAGTTCTGACTGTCCCAAACAGCTTTAGTATCTTGGTTTGCTCCCATTGATGGCCTGATCACTCCCGCTGTCCCACTCCAGGTGGATTTTAACAATTTGTTGCAAACCATAATATCATCACATTTTCTCCTCAAGCAACTTCATAAGCAGGTGTTGTTATTCTGCCCATTTTTCAAGATGAAGAAACTGAGACTCCTGCTCCTTAGAATATATCCTCAAGAATAAGAGCCGTCACATGAATAGATATATGCACACCATGTTCATTGCAGCACTGTTCACAACAGCAAAAAATGGAAACAACCTAGGCACCCATCAACTGATGAATGGATAAACAAATTATGGTATATTCACACAATGGAATACTATGCAATGATAAAGAACAACGATGAAGCTTATAACATGGAGGAAGCTGGAGGTCATTATGTTGAGTGAATTTAGGCAGTCACAGAAGGACAAATATTGTATAAGACCACTATTATAAACACTAAAGGAAAGGTTAAACACAGAAGAAAATATTCTTTGATGGTTATGAGGGTGGGGAGGGAGAGGGGTATTCACTAACTAAAAAGTAGACAAGAATTATCTTAGGTGAAGGGAAGGACAGCACACACTACAGGCGAAGTCAGCACACAACTGGACTAAACCAAAGCTAAGAAGTTTCCTGAATACAACCAAACACTTCGGGGGACAGAGTAGCAGGGGCGGGGTTCTGGGGACCATGCTTTCAGGGGACATCTAGGTCAATTGGCATAACAAAGTTTATTAAGAAAATGTTCTGCATCCCACTTTGGTGAGTGGCATCTGGGGCCTTAAAAGCTAGTGAGGGGCCCAGTGAATTGGTCCCAACCCACCTGGAGTAAAGGAGAATGAAGAACGCCATGGACACAAGGAAAGTATTAGCCCAAGAGGCACAAAAGGCCATGTAAACCAGAGACTTTATCAGCCTGAGACCAGAAGAACTAGATGGTGCCCAGCTACCACAATGACCGCCCTAACAGGGAGCACAACAGAGAGTCCCTGATGGAGCAGGAGAAAAGTTGGGTGCAGAACTCATATTCTAGTCAAAAGACCAGACTTAATGGTTTGATTGAGACTGGAGGGACCCCGGAAGACACAGACGTGGACTCTCTGTTAGCCCAAAACTAAAACCATTCCCGAGACCAACTTTTCAGACAAAGATTAGACTGGACTATGGGACATAATATGATACTCATGAAGAGTGCGCTTCTTAGCTCAAGTAGACATATAAGACTAAATGGGCAG